AAAAGAAGGTTCTCATTGACTTTAGTGTCCTCCATCTAATACAGAGGTGAAAGGATTATTCATTTCATCAAAATATAATGCACCATTGGAAAGAATATAGTAATGATATTCTAGTTGCATTCTTTTTCCTAAAAAAAATAAGAATACGTACATGATTTATATACTGAATGTAACAACCCGACCAGTCATTTTGAGCTCTAGTGCGTCGTTCATCAGTTTGAGGCCTTGAGTTGCTTCACTTTAGGTATTATGACTTGTACATGTGGTTAGAATTGAATTTCGGGAAGTTCGGAGTTGACTTGGAAAGAAAATTCTAATTCGAAAGCTTTAAGTTGGAAGAATTGACTAGGGTTTGACTTTTGGGTAAACGACCTCAGAATCGGGATTTGAAGGTTCCAGTACGTTTGTATGATGATTTCGGACTTGTGCGCATGTTCGGGTTGAGAATCGGGTGGCCCGGGAGCATTCCGACGCCTATTATGGAAAGTTGACATTTTGGATGAATTTCATAAGTTTGTGTTGAAGTGGATTTTGATGTATCCATCTGGGGTTCCGAGCCTTGGAACAGCTTCATTATGTCATTTATGACTCTTGTGCGAAATTTGAAGTCATTCCGGATTGATTTGATACGTCTCGGCACAAGATATATAATTTGAAAATTTGAAAATTTATAAGTTTGATTCGAGCGTGATTCATGATTTTGATGTTGTTTGACGTGGTTTGAGGCTTCAACTAAGTTCGTATTGTATTTTGGGACGTGTTGGTATATTTGGTTAAGGTTCCAAGGGCCTCGGGTGGATTCCGGATGGTTAAAGGATCGATTTTTGGACTTAAGGAAAAGCTGGAAATTTCTAGTTGCTGGTGTGATCGCTTCTGCGGAAGATGGGTCGCAGAAGCGACTTTGCAGGAGCGAGAATCGCATCGCAGAAGCGGGGAACGCTTCGCAGAAGCGAAAAATGGAACGTTCCTGCGACCTTGCAAAAACGACGGAGTGGTCGTATAAGCGAGCTGGAGCGCAGAGGAGACTATGGCTTCGCACATGAGGTTGCGCAGAAGCGGGAAAGAGCCCGCATATGCGATGGGGCTGCTGACCAGTAGACTTCGCAGATGCACATATGTGGTCGCAGAAGCGACGCCGCAGAAGAGGCCAAGCTGATCGCAGAAGCGGAAAGTCGTATGGGTAGAGGTGTTCTTTTAAAGCGGGATTTGGCTCATTTTCATCTCATTTTCTTCCATGAGAGCCGATCTTGGAGCAATTTTGGAGGGCCATCTTCATCATCTATTATGGGTTAAGTGATTTCTTCTCATTGCAAGTTAATACATGGTTTATACATGGATTTAAACATGAAAATTAGTAGAAATTTGGGATTTTGGTAGAAAACCTTGAATTTGATATTTTTGGATTTTGACCACGAAATTGGACATGGAATTGGTAATAAATCATATATTTGAGTTCGGAGTGTTATGGGTAAAGTTTATCTTCGAATTTTTTTGGAATCCGAGCACGTGGGTTGACTTTATTGAGTTTTCGAGTGGAATTGGGAATTGTTATGAATTGTTAAACTGTAAGCATTGGAGTATATTTTGATTGATTTGTACATTGTTTGGCTAGTATTAGAACACTGGCTTGGAGTTGAGTGTTAGAGTGGCGTTGGATCCGGTTATGGAACTTCAGAGCGAGGTAAGTCTCCTGCCCAACTTTGTGAAGGGGAAATTACCCCTAGGTGATATAATTGTTATGTGCTAATAGTTGTGAGTGCTACGTACGCACAAGGTGACGAGAATCTGTACGTAGCTAGATTCATGTTATGTCCGGGAAGGCTTAAGTTCCTGCCATGCTATAACTGTATTATTTGAGTTGTTCCTTGCCTAATAAATTCATTTATTTTACGTTACGACTTGGGACTAGATTTGCGTAGAGTGATAGACTTGCTATTGTAGAGGTTTTGATGCGCTACTTGATTTAGCAGCGAAATAATTGTGCTCCCCTTATGAATTTCTTCCGCGTTGTGCGTTTTCATCGAAAAGCTTCCTTAAAGTTCATAACTCACACGTTTATTCTTGAGTGAGGTTAAGGGCCCGTCAAAGCTTCTTATTCTAATGGGATTGGGCTGCTCGCCTCGGCAGTGTAATAAATACATCTATGGTTTGTGTCGTTCGACCCTCGACAGTGCGCATATTATGATGGGATCGGGTCATTCGCCTCGGCAGGGTTATGTACCTTACTCTCATGGGAGCTGGCCGTTCACCTCGATAGTATAATAGATGTATTTATGGTTCCTTCCATTCGACCCTCGGCAGTATACACATTATGATGGGATCGGGCCTTACGCCTCGACATTTCTACAGAATACTCTTATGGAATCGTGCGTAATATTCGACAAGAAGCCAGTGTATCTGTGAGTTTTTCTGATTTGAATTATGACGACCTATCTGGTAAGTTCCATTATATATATACTCTAGTTGAGGGGGTAACCGCTAATTGAGAGCTTGAGTTGTTGTTGAGAGGAGGGTGGTACCCCGTATTTATACTTGTTTATTTCGTTTGTTTGCTCTACCTCACATTTGTTTACCTTCTACTGCATTTGATTTATTGGACCACTAGTAAGTATCGATATCGACCCCTCGTCACTACTTCTCTGGGTTAGACTAGATACTTACTGGGTACACGTTGTTTTACGTACTCATGCTACACTTGCTGCACTTATTGTGCAGGTATATATATGTTCTGGTAGTTCTCTAGGTGCAGAGGCTCGGCTACTGTGGGCACTTTACGATGAGCTGCATTTCCTGGTCACGATCAGCGGCATCCAGAGTCTCCATCAGAGTTATTTATATTTTTCTGTCTAATTTGTATTACAGACAGGTGTAGTGTTTTATTGTACTCCTTAGTAGATGCTCATGCACTTGTTACATCGGATTTCGGGGGTTTCTACTGGATGTCCAGTATGGTAGTTCACGTAATTATTATCATTTCACGCTATAAGTTCTATTTCACATTATCTAATTAAAGGAAATTATGATTTCAAAAGTAATAAAATGAGTAATTAAGTTGATCAGTCATCGTAGGCTCGCCTGACGGCGGTGTTAGGTGCCATCACTACCTATAGTGGATTTTGGGTCGTGACACTGAAATTGCAATAAGGCAATGAGGACGTATATGGGCAGAGTATTTTCTTTATTGAACTAACTAATAGGATCATCATTCATAAAATTTACTTCTTTTTTTAAAATTTTTATCTTATAACTCAAATATATTATTTAACAATATTTGCATAATCTTTTAAATTATCTTCTTATTGATGGGGTACACGTGCAATATGTGTGTCCAGAGACTAGTATTAGTAAAATGTTGGAAGTATGAGACACAAATTACAATAATTGTGATTCTCTCATAGGATTTAATATTTAATAGAACTATAAAGTGCATCATTTTTTAATATATTTTGAATAATGCTTGATCCTAATGTGCATCACCACTTTTTTATCAAAGTTATTAAAGTGCGTCAATCTCTTTATTCTTTCATATTTAAATGTCAAGATCTACTAAAATTTTATATCTTTTTTGAATTTAAAATGCTATTTGTCAATAACTTTTAAAATTAAATCGAGTATACAATTATTTAGGGTTTTTATTAATTTTGTGTTTAATTATTAAAATTCGGTTAAACATGAAAACACACATCAATGAAAAACTATTGTTAAGACTAAGAAAATAACTATCATGTGTTACCAAAAGAGTTTTCCCATAAGAGTATTATAATAAATCATATATTTATCAATTTGATCAATTCTTACTAAATATATTAACTTACCAAAATTTTATCCATAATTCTAATAAAGTAAGATTGAAATAATATTTATGTGATAAAAAAACCAAGAAAACTCGATAAAACCAAACCAATCAAACCGATATAATTGACTTTAATAAAAATTGAACCAAATCGCCTCATGTCTAACCCTAAATAAAAAGCAGGGTCAAAGCCATTACTACTATCACTGTAAACAATTCTCTAAATTTTTTTTAACAGAAAAGAGTCTACATATAGTTGAATGAATAAAGAAAAAGTAAATGACAAAAAAGTCCCTTGATTGGTCCAATAGATATCATTAATGTCCAATTATTTTGTATGAGTTAGAAGAAGGAAAATTGGTAGTATTCATAGGTTTTTGCCAATATGTTTCAGAAACTCAAGAGCAGCGTGTTTCAAATCCAAAAATTAGTAGCCTAAACCCAAGTTTTAATAAAAGACTTAATTTTTTTTTTATATTTGAATTCGTATGTGTATACACACATATGAAAAAAAGTAAATGTTACTATTTTTTGTACTTGTTATTTATATTGTAATATTCTTAAATGACATAAGCTTTTAACTTTAAATAGTATTATTATTTATATTAGTTAGCAACAATTTGAATAAGTAAGATGTTTGTCATGTATTTATACTATATTTTCTTTGATATTATTGTAAAAATTATATTTAATATGATTGTTTAAGTAGTTTAAAAAGTTTCTAAAATATTCTTACTGTTAAAGAGTAAACAATCTTGCTTTCTTTCTTTTTTCACAATTTTTTTTGTAATTTTTAATATTGTCTAAACTAAAATAAACTTATAAAATTCACTTTTAAAATTTTTGGGGGCCTCAAAATCTCGAGGACCTAAATCAAGGCTTTACTAGCTCCCCCTTGAGCTACCTGTCCGCCCCTGTTATTCTTAATCAAATTTTATAGATTTTCGATCAAGACAAGACAACAATGAAAAGAACATTAATGATAGTAAATGTATCATATAATACCGGATGTGAATATAGCTGGTTGGACAACATATACATGGGGAAACATTCTCAACATAACCGATGACCTTAAAAAAAAGTATATTAAAAGACCATTAACCTTCTTTGATAAAATTCATATAGTAATGAGAAACAAAAGGTAGCGAAAAGACCATGAGCTCTGCAGGCACACGTTAAGCAGGAAGCTAACGTACGCACTACGACCATGGACAGACGCAAATCTCAACCAATTGCACCGCCTACGATACCGGAAGATGATGAAGGAGAGAGAATAGTAACACCGGAGACAGGAGTGCCACAAGTGATAGGACAAATGCAGCTCGTACACTGGATGACTGGGATGGGTAGTGCACCGACGGTCATGCAATCTCAGAATTGTAACAATGAAGAGAAATCAGAGGAGGAGGAAGCTAATAATGCAGCGAGGAAACTGAATTTTTCAGTGAATCGAATGGAACCTATACAATCAGAACTGTCGCTAGCTGAGGTGGTAAAAGGAAACAGATCTGTACAACAAGGAATGAGATTGGAATATTATCCTCCAATAATGAAGGAAGGAGTGAAGATTGTGAGATTGAACCGAGCTGAAGTTGCAGAGCAAACTCAAAAATGGAAGGAGACGGTTATTGGGTACGTATTGGGGGGAAACCCTAATTTTAAAGAAATGCTCAAGTTTGTGTATGGGGTATGGAACTTTGTTACTGTTCCTCATGTGTACTTACATGACGATGGTTATTTCATCTTTCGATTTAACTCTGAGGAAGATAAGAACAGAATTATACATCAAGGACCATATACTTATCACAATCGGCCTATGATTCTGAAGCAGTGGGAACCAAAATTTCAGATAAACAAAGAATTGGCTAGGAAAATACCTATTTGGGTGGTTTTTCCAGGACTACATATAGAGTATTGGACTCCGGAAAATTTGGGAAGAATAGCCAGCTACTTAGGGAGACCTATATGCTCTGATCGACTTACAACTGAAGGGGAAAGAGTATCCTATGCACGTATGCTGGTGTAGATGGATATATCACAAGACCTACCTGATACTATGTTAATAGAAGAAGAGGAAGGCCAATATAGAGAACAAGTTCTGGAGTATGAATGGAAACCTAAGTATTGTGAACACTGCTGCCAAATAGAAAATCATGAAGAGAATTGTGAGAAGGCAGGGACGAAGAAAGCAAATGATGAACAGGTTGGCAAACAGAAACAAAAGCAGGGGAAAATGGGGAATAACCAGATTAAAAAGCAATGGAAGGCTAAACCTATTACTAAACAAGTAGTAGAGCAGAAAGAACAAAGCAGAAAACAAGCACAAGAGAAGGATTGGCAAAGTGGGAAACCAAATGAATAGAAGGAACAGAATATGACTACAAAGGAACAACGGGGCAATGGGGAAATCATTGAGCAGGATATGGAAATGTAGATAGTCCAAAAATCCAGGGGCAAACAGAAGATGAAAGATAGAGCAAATTCACAATAAAAGGGAGCATTGATGGAAAAAGAAATAATAAGCATGTTGAATAGAAACAGGTACAACCCACTAGTCATAAAGGAGAATAACAACACTGGAAGAGTGGCTGAAGGGATTAACCTCACAGAGGAGAATCCTCCATGATTATCAGCTCTTGGAACATAAGAGGGCTTAATAAGCCCTATAAGCAAAAAGAACTCAAGGCCTTTTTGCTAAATCATAAAGTAACTTTACTAGGTTGCCTTGAGACAAGAATAAAACCTAGAAGTAGTAAGAAAGTAAAGGAGAAATTCAGTAATGACTGGAAAATGTATTCAGATGAAGCAGTAACAAATAATGGGAGAATTTGGCTATTCTGGAAAGATAGTATGGTTCAGGTTCAGATAATTGCAACTGCTGCTCAACTAGTTCATTGTAAGGTGAATGATAAGGGATCAATCTTCTCAAGTTATATTACCTTTGTGTATGGAAAGAACAAGCCACAGGAAAGAAGGCAACTATGGGAGCAACTGAGACAGATAAACAATAGCATACATGAGACTTGGCTAATTATTGGAGACTTCAACAGTGTCTTGTCTGTACATGATAGACTCAATGGTCAACCAGTACATCCAGCTGAAATGATAGAGTTTCAAGAATGCATAAAGGACATTGGACTGGGGAAATTAGATAGGAAATGATATGAATGGTCATGGTGCAATAAAAGAGGTGCTGAAGAGAGAATCTATAGTAATATAGACTGGGCATTTGGAAATGCTTCTTGGCTAACTCACTATAGTAGCCTTGAAGCAATTTATGAATTGCCAGGTGTTTCAGATCACTCTCCCATCATTATCAATACTGAGATAATGAGAAATCACTTACCTAAGCCCGTCAGATTATATAATGTATTGTTAAAGCAGAAGAATTTTGAAGAAGCAGTTTCAGAAGTTTGGAGACAAAAAATTAAAGGCTATAAAATGTTTTCAGTCTGGAGAAAGTTGCACAATCTAAAGGAGAGAACAAAGACAATGAATAAAGAGCTGAATTCACTGGAGAAAAAGATAGGAAAGGCTAGAGAACAATTGAAAAATGTTCAAGGAAATATTGGTGCAGACCCTTTCAACAGCCTGTTAATAGACACAGAGAAGAGATTACTAGTACAGATTGAAGAATGGGAAGGTATCAATGAACAGGTACTTAGACAAAGATCAAGAGCAATGTGGATTCAGGCTGGAGATCAAAACTCAAAATTTTTCCATGCTCACTTGAAGGCCAGGCAATCAAGGAATAGAATATCAGCAATCTTCAATGATCAAGGGGACAAATTAACTGATGCTACTATGATAGAACAAGAATTCAGAGGGTTTTTCCAATCTCTACTGGGTACATCAGCTAGTGAATTGCCTTGTATTGATATTGATATAGCAAGGGATGGTCACTGTCTTACAAAGGAGCAACAAAGATTACTTAGTGCAAAAGTAACAGAAGAGGAAATTGACAGAGCAGTTAGAGGATTACCAAATGATAAAGCACCGGGAATTGATGGATTCCCAGCAGAATTTTTCAAAGCCTATTGGAGCCTGATCAGGGGAGAAACACAAGAAGCAATTCAAGAGTTCTTCAGAGAAGGCAGAATGCTGAAAAGTATAAACTGCACTACTGTGACATTGGTTCCAAAGGTTACCAGTCCGAGATTTGTAAAGGAGTTTAGACCAATAGCATGCTGCACTACCCTATACAAAATTATAGCAAAGATCATTACAGATAGATTGAAGTTGGTAGTTGACTCTATTGTGGGACATGCTCAGTCTGCTTTCATAGAGGGGAGGCACATATTGGACAATGTAACTATAGCTCATGAGCTGGTAAAAGGGTACAATCAAAAAGGGGTTTCACCTAGGTGTTGTATAAAAATTGACATAAGGAAAGCATACGACTCTGTGGAGTGGCCATTCTTAAAGATGATTCTGATAGAGTATGGATTACCTGTGGGATTTGTGGCACTGATAATGGAGTGTGTGACTACAGTCAGCTACTCCTTGTTATTGAATGGGGGATTAACAGAAAAGTTCCAAGCAAAAAAGGGGTTAAGACAGGGAAACCCCATGTCCCCTTACTTATTTGTGTTGGTGATGGAATATCTAAACAGATCATTGAAGAAGCTGAATCACATTCCAGATTTTAACTATCACCCAAAATGCTCCAGGAATCACATAACACATATCTGCTTTGCAGATGATCTGATACTATGTAGCAAAGCAGATAGGATTTCAATACAACTATTACTAGGGAGACTCAACCATTTCTCTGAGGTCTCAGGGCTGCAAGCTAATATGGAGAAAAGTGCACTGTATATTGCAGGGGTATCTAATGAGTTCACGGCATAGATCCTAGAAGAACTGCAATTCACTCTAGGAGACCTTCCATTCAAATACTTAGGTGTACCACTATCTTCAAAGAAGCTGTCTATTCAACAATGGCTGCCTCTGGTTGAGAAGATCACAACAAGAATTAACTGTTGGACAGCAAAATTCTTGTCATATAGTGGGAGACTGCAGCTACTTAAGAGTGTGATATTTGAGATGCAAACGTACTGGGCACAGGTTTTTCTACTGCCAAAGAAGATTATCAAGCTGATAACTACAGTATGTAGAACTTTCCTATGGACTGGAAGCAATGAACCCTCTAGGAAAGCATTGGTAGCTTGGGAAACTATATGCAAGCCAAAGTCTGCAGGTGGACTTAATGTGCTGGATCTTCATTGTTGGAACAAGGCTGCTCTATGCAAGTTACTATGGGCTATAACTGAAAGAAAGGAGGCTTTGTGGATCCAATGGTTGCATAGCTTCTACATCAAAAACAGAAATGTTGAAAATATGACTACTCCAAAGCAGGCAAGCTGGATAGTGAAGAAGATCTTTGATGTAAGGGAGTGGTTTAGGCAGAATAACCCCACTGACACTCTGAATAACTTTTGTAAGAAAGGAAAGTTTAATATTAAGAAGCTATACAATGCAACAAGACCACAATATCAGAAGTGTAACTGGAAGAGACTAACTATGGCCTCAAAAGCAATTCCTAGGCACAAGTTTATCCTCTAGTTGGCACTACATAGGAGATTGGCCACAGTCGAGAGGCTACAAAAATGGGGAATAGTGGTAAGTAAAGACTGTGTACTGTGCAAAAGAAATATGGAGGAAACATTTGATCACTTGCTATTTGAATGTGAATACTCCAAAACAATGTGGGCTACAATGCTGAGATGGGCGGAGGTTAATCATCAAATAGGGAGCTGGGAAGAGGAGATCGCATGGATAGCAAAAGTAGCTGTAAACAGAATCAAGGGTGAAATCTTAATTTTCTTATTTACAGCAGTGGTTTATCATGTATGGAATGAAAGGAACAACAGACGATTCCAAGGAAAGGAGATATTATGCAGCAAGAGAATCAAAGAGATTGTTCAAATGTTACACATAAGAGGAAAGTGTGTAGTAAACTGGAAGAAAGAATTAAAAAAACTCAACAATTATCCTAGCTAGTTAGTCTGTAATTAGCAAGCTAGGTATTGATAGATTAAGTGTTTTCTCTTATGTTTTGTTTACAGCTTATAGAAAATGATGTATAGGAGCTAGCTCTAAAGTCCAAACGAGCTAGGGGGATGTAAATATTATACTTGGTTAAATAAAATTTTGCTTTTAACCAAAAAAAAAAAAAGAAACAAAAGGCCTACATGGCTTTAATCTAGTAATGAGAGCGCAATGCATGATGTGTGAGTTAGATGCATGTCATGGTATTGAACTTTTCTCTATACAAAAATATGATAATAAGTGAAAATAATAAAGGGGTGAATATTATTCATCGAGTTTTGAACCTTTCGACACTTGCCTAGAGTATTTCTCAGTTAAAAAAGATGAGATACAAATGAACTTTCTTTATGATATATGGATCAATTAAATGAGACAAAAAAGACATAACTAATTAGAATTTGAGTTGAACTTTTAAAGGTAAAATCGCAAGAAATATGAAAAAGAGAGTATACATAAAAGAAGAAAAATAAAATTACGTAAATATATTGTTTAAAGTTAATGTGAAAAAAATTTATTAACTCACTCAATCTTTAACTTTAAATCCATACTAAAATTTAAATATATTTTGGGCCTTAAATAGGTACCTAACGCAGTGACTTCACCTGCCTGAACCCTAGAGCCGCTTCTCAACACACAACAGCAGATCAGCAAAAATGGCTTCTCTGTGTCGTTTCAAACCGAAAAAACTCTCACCAAGATCAACATCCTTCTTCTACAGTTCCGAATCCCCCAACAACCCGGACCCGAGGACCCGAATTCCGACAACTCACAATCCTAAAACCCCAGAAAAAGTAGAAGATCTCATTTGCAGAATGATGTCTACTCGCGTGTGGACTACACGCCTTCAGAACTCAATTAGGAATCTTGTTCCTTCATTTGACCATGAACTTGTTTACAATGTGTTACACAATGCAAAAAACTCTGAACACGCGTTACAGTTCTTTAGATGGGTAGAAAGATCCGGTCTTTTTAGGC